TGGGCAGGCGTCCCCTGACATTTCTAACTGAAACCAGGGGGAAGCTGCTTCCCCGCGGAGCAGCAGGCATCCCTGTCAGAGCCACCGGCTTTCTCCCTGTGACTCACGGCTGCTTCCTCCTGGTCATCTGGTCCAGGGCAGGCCCAGAGGATGTGTGTTGACTGACCACGTTCCTGCTAAAAATATGGGTCCTGGAGTCAGAATTTCTTGCTGTGAAAAGCACTTCCTGCAGGCAGGGTGCCTCAGGAAGCAGATTATAACATTGTTTTTCTGAGTCTTTCTCTTCTTGTGTGGGGTCTCTATATTCAGAGTCTATAAACATGAACAAATGTATGTACAGTGGCCAGGAAAGCGGGAAACAGGTGGCGGCGGTCACAGGGCAGCACTGGGCTGGGAACCCCTTTTAGCAGCTCCCGCCGTGGGCATGTCAGTGTGGACTCCCTCTAAGACACTCTGGCGCAAGGGCCATTGCTTTTCTTTTTCTTTGTTTCTTTTTTTTTTTTTTGGAGGAGGGGAAAGACAGTCTCACTCTGTCGCCCAGGCTGGAGTGCAGTGGTGCAATCTCGGCTCATGCAGTCTCCACCTCCCGGGTTCAAGCAATTCTTGTGCCTCAGCCACCCAAGTAACTGGGATTACAGGTGTGTGCCACCATGCCCAACTGATTTTTGTATTTTTAATATAGATAGGGTTTCACCATGTCAGCCAGGCTGGTCTCAAACGCCTGATTTCAAGTGATCCACCCGCCTCGGCCTCCCAAAGTGCTGGGATTACAGGCGTGAGGCACTGCACCTGGCCTTCTTTGGTTTTCTAGCTTCCATCTACTCAGCATGGGAGGAAATCCAATTTGTTGTGCTTCCTGGCTCCTGGGGTCCTGTGGACCTGAGAGGGTCTTGCACCATTCAGGGAACTGGCCCTCCGGGCCTCAGGATGCCCTGGGCACTGCGGAGACATTCACTCTTCAGCCACGGTGGTCCTGGGAGCAGTGCTGATGAGTCAAAGCTCAGCCTCTGGCTATTCAGGCTCTACCCCCTGAGCAGCCTTGGGCACCCTTCCCCGTCACTCCTCACCATTTGCTGAGACCACTACCCCTGCCCCCCATCTATCCCAGCCTCTTCAACTAAAGCTGCCGATCTCACGCCCTGCTTCTCTGGGACCACCTCTCCCCACATGCCATGGGCCTGAAACCTAAGAGTTCTTGGGGGTTTGGGGGTGGGTGAGAACACTCAGCCCTTCAGAAACACAAAGCGGCCTCTTCTCCCCAGAATGAGGAGGGGAAGGGAGAAAGGGGAAGGAAGACGCTTGATACAGTTGGGGTATTTGTCCTCGCCCAAATCTCAGGTTGAATTGTGATCTGCAGTGATGGAGGTGGGACCTGGTGGGAGGTGTTGGGATCATGTGAGTGGATCTCTCATGGCTTGGTGCTGTCCTCACCATAGTGAGTGAATTCTCGTGAGACCTGGTCATTGAAGAGTGTGTGGCACCCCGCACCCCACGCTGTCTCTCTTGTTCCTGCTTTCGCCATGTGGCGTGCCTGCTCCCCCTTCACCTTCCACCACGATCGTAAACTTCCTGAGGCCTCCTCAGAAGACGAGCAGGTGCGGAGGTCAGGCTTCCTTACAGCCTGCGGAACCATGAGCCAATCAAACCTCTTTTCTGGCCAGGCGCGGTGGCTCATGCCTGTAATCCCAGCAGTTTGGGAGGCCAAGGCAGGCAGATCCCCTGAGGTTAGGAGTTCGAGACCAGCCTGACCAACATAGAGAAACTCTGTCTCTACTAAAAATACAAAATTAGCCAGGCGTAGTGACACATGCCTGTAATCCCAGCTACTCAGGAGGCTGAGGCAGGAGAATTGCTTGAACCTGGGAGGCAGAGGTTGCAGTGAGCCAAGATCGCACCATTGCACTCCAGCCTGGCTAATAAGAGCAAAACTCTGTCTCAAAAAAAACCAAAACCTAAAAGAAAAAAACCCCTTTTTTCTTATAAATTACACAGTCTCAGGTATTTCTTTATAGCAGTGCAAGAACAGCCTCTTACGTTTTATTTGTCTCTGGGAATATAGAGTAAAATAACAATAATAAGTAACAAATAACACTCCAATACAAAACAAAAGAAAACACTCCAGAAGACGAACTGTATTTTAGTTTTGTTTTGTTTTACTAAGTAGATCCCCTTGTTACGTTAGCCTCATTTTACAGATGAAGAACCCAGGGCTCAGAGGGTTCCTTGGGCTGCCACGTGGCACTGGGTGGGGGTTTATGGAGGTCATGGCCCCATGTCTATGCTCTCAATCTGACCAGTGTAGGCATCAGGGTGGGCACTGCCCTGCACAGAGGCCCAAGGGTGGTCCTGACCATGTTGCCCAGGATGGTCTCGACTCACCTACTAAGGGATGGCCTCCATCACAACCTTAGCCACTGCTGGCGAACAGGTGGAAAGGAACCAAAAGACAAGTACATCCCAGCCATTAAAGGTAGAGCTGGCTGAGCCTCCTTCAGAGACTGCATAATGGTGACTCTTTACTTGGGGGTTGATTTACACCCAGGCTTGATTTATGGGCGCAGATGTGCATATATCACCTCCCGTAATCCCCACAAGAATCCTATTCTTTCCATTCTCCAGATCATAAAATGGGCATGCAGATGTTGAGTAACTTCCCCAAATCCTGTAACTAGTAAGTTGCCAAAAATGGGATCTGAACCCAAATCTCTTAAGTCCAGTGTTCTTTCCATAATATGTCAGTGAATATAGCTGAGATTTCATTTTTTAGAGAGATGAAAATTAAGAGAGGTGAGTACTGACGTTTGCACTTCTCATTTGACAACAATAGACAACAGGGAAACCAATGTGAAATTTCAGTCTCTAGGAGCTTACAGACGGAAGAGAAACTACGAGAATGGTTATTCTACAAAATACCATCAGGTGGCACCATTGCACAGCAGCTGCATATCCCCAGGGTTCAACTCAACAGAAGGGTCAGCTCCCTCTGGCCAGCTGCATCTCCACCCTGGCCGTGGCATGTGCCCCCTGCCCCCACCTTTACTAATATGGTGTCAAGAGCTGATGTGTGAATAAGAAACGTAGCATCCCATGCCTGAGCTGCTGTCCATGTACTAGTCCATCTATTTGTGTCTGGTAACTATTTTAAGATATCGTGACCTTATTAAATGTTTTAACAGAATCTGATCTGTCTCTGAAAACATTGCCCTTTCTTGTCTGGAGGTGCAGGGACAGGAAGGAGGCCTTTAATCAAGGTTCTTCTTGACCTGAGATGATGGTGGGAAAGGTGTGGGGTCTAGATTGAAGGTGGAGGGGTCAGAGGTCATGCAAGGGCAGTGGCGGGTTTGACTTGGCATTTGGGGCCAGGCAGGCAGCTTTGCAGAGTGCATCGTTTGCCTTTGTATGGGGTCAGGAGCTTGGACAGCTTTGGGGGTGGGGTGGGTGGGTAATGAACCCTTCTCACACTGTTTTCTGTTTTGTTTTTGTTTTGTTTTTTTGAGACAGGGTCTTGCTCTGTCGCCCAGGCTGGAGTGCAGTGGTATAATCCCGGCTCACTGCAACCTCTGCCTCCCGGGTTCAAGCGATCCTCCTATGTCAGCCTCCAGAGTAGCTGGGACCAGAGGCATGCACTACCATGTCTGACTAATTTTTTGTTTTGTTTCGTATTTTTTGTAGAGATGAGGTTTCACCATGTTGCCCAAGATGGTCTCAAACTCCTGGACTTAAGCAGTCTGCCCGCCTTGGCGTCCCAAAGAGTTGAGATTACAGGCGTGAACCGGTGCCCCCGGCCCCAATTAGTTTTATAATGCTGCATGAAATCTAGATTATTTTAAAATGCCACATAAAAATAATTACTATGACATTTAAATATAGTGACAATGAAGTTCGTAACAGAATTGGTATTAAAGTATTATTATTGTATAACTCACAAAAATTTGCCTTCTGTATAATCTCTCACATGGAAACATAAAATGTCAAGAATTTTCTGTAAGGAAACATAAAAGGTCAAGAATTTTCTGTAAGGAAACATAAAAGTAGGTTAGCAACAAGTAAGACTAATAAACATAGCATACATTTTATACATTGTAGAAATACTTATTTTTTATTCAATAATTTGAATGTAAAGGGCTTCGAATTTTTTTTGTTTTGTATGTTACCAATAAATTGAAGCTATTTAAAGCTGTTAAATCTAAATTCTAGTCTCTGTAGAGATTATACCGGTTCCCACCGATTATCCCATGTGTCATGGGATGCCTTGTGCCCCTCCAAAATTCATATGTTGAAGTCCCAACCCCCAGCACCTCAGAATGTGACTGTATTGGGTGCTACATTCTTTAAAGAAATAATTAATCCTTTTCCTTTTTTTTTTTTTTTTTTTTTTTTTTTTTTTTTATTATCCTTTTCCTGTTTAGAAAAAAAAAACGTGCAGCCCACTGCCAGCAATCATTTCATTTTTTTTTTTTTTGAAACAGAGTCTTGCTCTGTTGCCCAGGTTGGGGTTCCATGGCACGATCTCGGCTCACTGCAACCTCTGCCTCCCAGGTTCAAATGATTCTCCTGCCTCACCTTCCCGAGAAGCTGGGACCACAGGCACACACCACCACAGCTGGGTAATATTTTTGTTGTTGTTGTTGTTGTTGTTTTTGTAGAGATGGGATTTCGCCACATTGCCCAGGCTGGTCTCAAACTCCTGACCTCAAGTGATCTGTCCGCCTCAGCCTCCCAAAATATAGGCATGAGCTACCGTGCCTGGCCAGAGCTCATTTCATTTTACATAAACAAACCTGACTGATTTTCGATGTCAAAGTAAAATTTAAAAACTGTTCTTGGAGTTATTTCTAAACAGAACTAACATCAAAATCATCTCAATTATTAGAATCATCTATTTCATAAAAACAAGATTCATCAAATGAATCTATGGCCAACAACTGTTTGAGAACGATCACGTAGGAATGCCACGTTTTCTCGGATTTGACATTTTCAGCCATCGAGAATTACTATATTTTCTAAATGGAAATGCCACTACTAAAGACAGAATGCTATATGCAGAATGATGTCTTTTGTTTCCAAAGTTGATACACTAGAGCAAAGCGAAAATAATAAAAGCGAAATGTTTTGTGACCAAATTACTTTGGGGTAAATGCTGCAGCTGCAAGAGCTGCTGGTGAGTGTTCTTGGGCTAAACAGGAAAAGATTTAAGGGAACAATTACATCCTGGGAATGGGCTCTAATCCAATATGATTGGTGTCCTTATAAGAAGAGGAGATCAGGGCACAACGCACAGACAGCGGGGACCACGTGAAGACACAGGGAGAAGGCCGCATCTACAAGCCAAGGAGAGACCAACCCCGTCGGCCCCTGATCTCAGACTTGTGGCCTCCAGCACTGCTGCTCAGCCACCCCAACTGTTCCCTCATGACGGCAGCCCCAGCAGATGAATAGCCTGCGTTGTGCAGGCTGACAGGGAAGAGGCAATGAGGAGAGAGGGAGGTAAGACAGCTTCTTTCAATGATAAATCCCTTTTCCCAGAATAATCTGTACCTGTCTTCTTAAAGTAGCTCTTTGCACCAAAAGGGAGGATAATGAATTTTCAAATTGCAAACAGGTTCATTTGTTTCTACAAAACTGTATGTGGCCTAAAAGTGACAGTCATCCTCCTGAGAGAGTCCCCCGTCTTCTAGATGGGACTGGCCCGTGCTAACCAAAGCCGGGCTCTGGCAGGGATTCCAATTTGGGAAGATAAATGAGCAGGCGTGGCTGGCCCCTGAGCCACAGCTGAGCTCTCATGGAAGCGTCAGAAACAAGTACAGTCAACCCCAGGGACTTGGGCAAGGCCAGCCAGATGGTGAGGTGACCCCCAGGGCCCTGCAGCCACAGTGAAATTGACAAGGACCCGGAGCAGGGGCTGAAGACCCCTGTGGGCAGGAACAAATGCTGCATCTGGGCGGGGGATGGGGCAGGCCTGTAGGAAGCCAGGTCCCACCTGTGCTTCCCACTCAGCGCTGGATCAGAGGCCAGGCTGACCTATGACCTCACATGAGAGGCCACACTTGGCCAGTGCTCTAATTTTTATTTATTTTTTATTGTTGTGATGATGGAGTTTGCTGTGTTTACAAGGCTAGTCTCAAACTGCTGGACTCAAACAATCCACCCACCTTGGCCTCCCAAAAGTGTTGGGATTACAGGCGTGAGCCGCCGAGCCCGGTCCAGTGCTCTATTTTGAAAACAATAGTTAACTACTAACTGTTTTTAAAATAAATAGTTGATGGACTGAATAGTACTTTTTCAAAAATTGGCTTTATGTAGACTGACTAGATTCTCCTAACATGCAAAGGAAATATTTTGGGCGGGTGGAGGGGGGGACCTCTAGAAGTTATAGCTCTAAATGTATTAGGTTCCCAGGCCAGGGAGAAAAATTAACTACTTTAGAGCAATATTACTTGGCAGGCAATGTTCTGCTGGCATCACTGCATATGGGTACCTCAACTTCTCCTACAATAAAACCTTATTAATTTGATATCCAAAGAACAAAAAGAAAAATTCTCCAACCCCTGCTGGTCTTTGCATTTACCAGGTCCGGCTTATCTCAGCACTTTCATTAAACAGTAATAAGGTGTCTCGTTGGTTGGGGACTAGCAGTGACTTTGAAATAGTTGCTATTTTTGGCCAGGCACAGTGGCTTATGCCTGTAATCCCAGCACTCTGGGAGGCCAAGGCGCGCAGATCACCTGAGGTCAGGAGTTTGAGACCAGCTTGGCCAACATGGAGAAACCCTGTCTCTACTGAAAATGCAAAAATTAGCCAGGCATGGTGGGGGGCACCTGTAATCCCAGCTGCTCTGGAGACTGAGGCAGGAGAATGGCTTGAACCCAGGAGGCGGAGATTGCAGTGAGCTGAGATTGCACCATTGCACTCCGGCCTGGGCGACAAGAGTGAAACTCCATCTCAAAAAAAAAAAAAAAAAAAGATAAAAAGAAAAAAAGAAATAGTTGTTACTTTAAATGAACCAACATTGGAACAATGAGGTTCTACTGTAATTTGGTGTGATTTAATTAACTCCAACTTTGTGTTGGGCCTTAAACCTCTTCATCCCAATCAGGAAAAGCCTAGGCTGCCTGCCTTCTTCCTGAGACAGTGGGGCCTCTCTGAAAGCCCACCTTGTTTTGCTTCTTTGGGCAGCTGCTGTGACCTCACTTTTGTTCAGAGCTCAGCAGTGTATGGGGTAACCTTTTTTAGAAAACGTTATTTTTATTTTTATTTATTTTTTGAGACAGGGTCTCACTCTGTTGCCCAGGCTGGAGTACAGTGGCACGATCACAGCTAATTACAGCCTTGAACTCCTGGGTACAAGTGATCCTCCCACATCAGCCTCTCAACTAGCTGGGACTGCCGGCTTGTGCCACCATGCCCAGCTAATTAGAAAAAACAATTTAGTAGAGACAAGGTCTCACTATGTTGCCCAGACCAGTCTTGAACTCCTAAACTCAAGCAGTCCTCCTGCCTCGGTCTTCAAAAGTGCTGGGATTACAAGCATGAGCCACTGAGACCAGCTTATTTTTATTTTTTGAGAAAAGGTCTTGCTCTGTCACCCAGACTAGAGTGCGGCGGCAGGATCCCGGCTCACTGTAGCCTCAACTTCCTGGGTTCAAGTGATCCTGCCTCCTCGGCCTCCCAAAATGCTGAGACTACAGGTGTGAGCCACTGTGGCCAGCTGGTAACCTTTTTGTTTTTTGTTTTTTTTTCTTGCCGTTACCATCAACTCAGCATGTCTAAAAAGCAGCTGTCACTCTCCTCACCTACTACATCCCCTGCCTGACCTCCAGACTCCAGACCACCAGGCTCAGAATCACTCTGTTATTTTGGCTTCTCCTTTTATCCTCAAACTGCCCAAATGCTGCTTCCTCTTCCTTCTCAAGGTGGCTCCATGTCTGTGGCCCAGGCTCTCACACTTGTGTCTGCCTCTCTGCCCCGTCACTCTCCTGCAGAAAACCCTTCCCTAGCTCCCCATCGCCCACCAGCGGTTGTCACTGTTCCACAGGACCTAGGAGCTGGGGAGAGTCATTGCAGGAAGCTGTGGGGTGACGATGAAGGGATGAGGGGTCCTGGGCCAGTGACTTTGTCCTCACCTCTGCTGTGACCAGAGCCATCCTGCTCTTCTCAGATTCATCCAGGAAGCTTCTGGGTAATATTTGATGTGGAAACAAAAGGTCTTTGTAGCTAAAAATACCTTAGAAAACGACAAAAATTCTATTGGGCCGGTGCTCTCCAGTTTAACAATCAAGACCTGGATCAACAAGACAAAGGCCACTTCTTTGCTTTCCTCCACTTCTGATTCACTCCAAACCTCTCACCTGTGGGGTCCTGAAACCCCTTGTCATGTCCCACCCTTGTGCTTGGAGTAGAAAGCGCTCTTCTCTTTCTGATTCCCTGTGGTTGAAGGCCTGGCTCAGACCCCACCACCTCTGATGTGGCTGTGTTCGCCCTGACTGCTTATGCTGGAAGGTTCTCTCTCTTTTTTTTTTTTTTTCCTTTTCTTTTCTTTTTTTTTGGAGACGGAGTCTTGCTCTGTCACCCAGGCTGGAGTGCAGTAGCGCGATCTTGGCTCACTGCAACCTCCGTCTCCCAGATTCAAGCAATTCTCCTGCCTCAGCCTCCTGAGTAGCTGGGACTACAGGCACCCACCACCATACCCGGCTAATTTTTTTGTATTTTTTAGTAGAGACAGGGTTTCACCATGTTGCCCAGGCCAGTTTTGAGCTCCTGAGCTCAAGCAATCCACCTGCCTCAGCCTTCCAAAGTGCTAGGACTACAGGCGTGAGCCACTAAGCCCGGCCAGTTCTCTCTCCTTCTGCAGGCTCCTGCTCTTCTCCCTGGCCACGGATGACTGAATCAAGGGATCCCGATCAAGCAGAACCCCTCAAAGGTCTTTTGGGGCCTGGTGCGGAAACCTGTGCTTACTGCAGAATGTGGAATTGAGACATGGAGGCTGCACCATTGGGTGAGGGCGGCTGGTGCTGAGGGCAAGGGCCAGGCCAAGTCACAGTCACTTGTAAGTCAGAATCCGGGGTTGGGGGGCAGGGGCTGGGGGTAAACTGAGGAAGCTAGGCGGCAGAGGAAAGACAGTGAGGGGGACAAACAGGGTAGAGAGAGACCCTGCTCCTGAGGACGGGCTGGTTTCCATCAGGTCCTCACTTGTGAGACCCCCTGGGTGACTTCACAGCAAACCTTCCCTTGTACCCGAGCTGCTGGAGGGGCCTCTGTTCCTACCAGCGGAAACTCCAGGCCATGTCTCCTGGACTGACCTTGAGCTCCTCAAGGGCAGGGATTGTGCCTTACTCAACTTTCATTCCTTGCAGCACACCAACAGGGTAGGGACCGTGCTTGTATGAGTGTGTGTGTGTGGAGAGAGTATGTGTGAGTGTGAGAGTGTGTGTGACAGGTGACAGCGTGTGTGTAATTTTTATCTCTCTAGTAGCAGATGGAGGCCAGAGCTACCTGCCTTGGAAATACTGTGTATTTGAGCTGTACTCCTGTGTGTGCACAGCTTGAGCTTGGCTAGGCAATGATTCAAAAACCATGGGTACCACTAGGAGGACTGTAATCAAAATGACAACAATAACAAGTGTTGGCCCAGATGTGGAGACATTGGAACCCACTCACGGTGCTGGTAGGAATAGAAAATGGGGCAGCCGCTGTGGAAGGCAGCCTGGCACTTCCTCAAAAGATTAAGCGTAGAGCTGCCACATTAACCAGAAGTCCCACTCCAGGGGCTGTGCCCAAGAGAAATGAAGACACACATCCACGCAAGCACTTGTACACAAACGTTCATAGCAGTGTTATTCACAGTCACCAGAAGCAGAAACAACCCAAATGTCCATCGCTGGTGGATGGATAAACCAACTGTGGTCGATCCACACAATTGAATATTATTTGGCAATACAAACAGATAAGGTACGGATTCATGCTACCACATGAGTGAACCTTGAAGACACTATACTAAATGAAAGGAGCCAGCCATGAAATACCACAAATGGTTCCTTTTATATGAAAATTTCATAATAGGAAAATCCGTAGAGACAGAAAGTAGATTAGTGGTTGCCAGGGCCTGGGAAAAAGGGAGGTTAAGGCATGATGCCAACAGAGTTTCTTTTTAGGGTGATGAAAATGTTCTGGAGTTAGATGGTGATGATGGTTGTACAACCTTGTGAATATACTTTAAAAACCACTGAGTTGTATACTTTACAATGGTGAATTTTAAAGTGTATGCATTATATTTTACTTTTAAAAGCAAAAACCAGGCTGGGCGTGGTAGCTCACGCCTGTAATCCCAGCACTTTGGGAGGCCAAGGCGGGCAGATCACAAGGCCAGGAGATCGAGACCATCCCTGCTGTAGTAGAAACTCCGTCTCTACTAAAAATACAAAAAATTAGCCGGGCGTGATGGCTGGTGCCTGTAGTCCCAGCTACTTGGGAGGCTGAGGCAGGAGAATGGCGGGAAACCAGGAGGCGGAGCTTTCAGTGAGCTGAGATCACACCACTGCACTCCAGCCTGGGCGACAGAGCAAGATTCTGTCTCAAAAAAAAAAAAAAAAAAAAAAAAAAAGCAAAAACCAGCGGCAGCTCCTGTGAGTTAAGGATCTAGGCAGTAAGCAGCAACCACCACTAACATGGTAAACAGAGACATGGGGACATGCTCTGCCTCTTGTGGAGGAACACACCTACCCAAGGAGTCTTGGGTGAACCTGACTGTGGTCAAGCCCCTAGCTCCAGTACAAATGTACAGGAAGGACAGAGGCAGAGCAATGGGCTAAATGACACCATGGGGATGCAGTCCAGACTGCAGGGAATTCTATTTGATAAACCACCCAGTTACTTTAATAGATTCTAAAGTAAAAAAATAAAGAAACCAAGGGGGAACCTATGGATTCAAAGAGACTTCAGAGATACACATCAACCAATTGCTATATGTGGACCTTCTTTGATCTGGAGTCAAATAATCCATTAAAAAAATAATTGTGGGGCCGGGCACGGTGGCTCACGCCTGTAATCCCAGCACTTTGGGAGGCCGAGGCGGGCAGATCATGAGGTCAGGAGATCAAGACCACAGTGAAACCCCGTCTCTACTAAAAATACAAAAAAAAATTAGCCGGGCGTGGTGGTGGGCGCCTGTAGTCCCAGCTACTGGGAGGCGGAGTGGTGACCGGGAGGCAGGCTTGAGGCAAGATGACCGGGGAGTGGTCAGCCTGTAATCCGCCTGGGAGGCAGAGGCGATCAGGTCAGGAAGAAATTGGAACAGGTGAAACCCGCAAAAAAAAAAAAAAAGGGGAGGTGGGGGCGTGGCCAGCACGGAGGCTGAGGAGAATGGGTGAACCCGGAGGAGCTCAGACAGACGCCACTGCACCAGCCGGCACAGAAAAAAACTCCTAAAAAAAAAAAAAAAAATGCCATGACCAGCTGACAGACAACATTAAAAAAAAAAAAAAAAAAAATTGTGGCTTTTGACAGATTTGGAGATTTGAATACTAGGTGGATATTTGCTAGTACTGAAACATTTTTGTTAATTTATTTTTATTGTGATTTCTTTAAAAAAAAAAACACACACACAGCCCTTATTTTTTAGAGTTACTGAAATAGAGAAAAAAATAATCTGATGCCTGGAATTGATTTCCAAATAATCATGATGAAGGGAACTGGGTGGAGGAATAGATAAAATGACATTTGCTGTAAGTAGACAAGTGAAGCTGGGTCACAGGTGTATGGGGGTTTTTGTATGTTCTAGCTACTTTTGTATATGTTTGAAATTTTCCATAGCTCCATATTTAGTTCTTATTGGAAAATAAACAAGAAGAGAAGAACTGGAAAAGAGAAATCCTGGGCAAAGTAGTAGTCTGAGGTGGGGTGTCAGGCCTAAGGCCCCCAGGCCTGCTCTGCTAATCTGCCATCTGCCTCTGGGCATCCTCCACAGCCCCTCCCAGGAGGGAGTGCTTTCCATGGCTGTGCGCTCTTGGGCCTGGTCTCACAACTGTTTCTGGAGGCAGAAAGTTGTCTTCTGTGGATCAAGACACGAAGAATGGATGATTACATATGGCCACCAAACTTTGTGGAATAATGACTCCAAACTATGGCCCTTCCGCCAGCACAGCAACCCAGGAAGCAAACAGCTGAGGTGTTTGAGAAGGGTCGGGGGAAAAAGCCTTCTTGACTGAGAGCGTGCTGAGGGTTAGGGAAGGGAGAGGTTACCTCTGCATCAGAGGTTGGAGAAGAATCTAATTAAAGGAGTTTGAACTGAACTGGAGTGACACATAAATCATGCAAAATATATGTGAATGTGTTTCTTAAGTAAAATTAGAAAGTCCTCCAGGAGGACGTGCTTCCCCCATGCTCAAAGCTGACCGGTCTTGAAAATGCCTGGTGCCCCAACCAAAGGTCATTTTCCAGCCTTTCTCTGAGAACAGAGAACACGTTTCTCATGGAAGCAACATTATAAGTGGTGGTTGGGTTCCCAAGATCCCCCTCAAAATTTATTTGCCCAGTTTAAAGGCTGAGCATTTGCACCTGAAGTAGGTAGGACCCTTGTAAAGGCTAGCAGTTGGATAACATTAAGTTACATGTCAAGCCAGTCAAGATATGTGCCCTGCAACCCTCAGCAGTTGCTTGTGGGAGGGAGCATCTTCAGTTAGGTGGCTAGGGAAGCAGTGGGATTTGAGCTGGGCTTGGAGTGGTGGATACATATCAGTGATGGTAACAACCCCTCTGTCCTTCTTACTCACCTTTGCTAAGAAAAATTCTGAACTTTACTTTGAGGCAATTCCCAAATTATCCTTGAATCAGGCCCGGTGAGTTATGAGGGAATGTTAGAGCAAGCCCTAAACCATCTGGGACACACACAAATGTGCTCCGGATATGCTGAGTTGATCATAAGGTCCTCAGGTCTTCAGAATACCTGTAAAATGACCGTCACCACCTCACACTTCAGATTCCAGGGCCTTGACTCCCTGGCCTGACATCTCACCTCCACCTCTGTTAAAATTTCAGAATCAGGTTGGCTTTTATCTTTGTTCTTATTTTTGATGTCCCCAATAAACCCTTCTTCAACTGATCTTTTCCACCAGGCCCAAAACTTATTTCTTTTTTTTTTTTTTTTTAGACGGAGTCTCGCTCTATCCCCAGGCTGGAGTGCAGTGGCATGATCTTGGCTCACTGCATCCTCCCCCTCCCAGGTTCAAGCAATTCTCCTGCCTCAGCCTCCTGAGTAGGTGGGACTACAGGCATGCGCCACCATGCCCAGCTAATTTTTTGTATTTTAGTAGATACGGGGTTTCACCGTGTTGGCCAGGATGGTCTCAATCTTTTGACCTCGTGATCCGCCCGCCTTGGCCTCCCAAAGTGCTGGGATTACAGGCGTAAGCCACTGCACCCAGCCTCTTTCTAAGCCAGCATCCAGAACACAGATCCCAGGCTCATTAGGTAGGTTCAAAAAACAGGTCTCCGATGGCTTCCTTATTTCAGGAAGCACTGAATTAATTATTTCCACTCAGGAAAAGATTATGTTGGAGTCCATTGCTGCTTCTTGATCCCAAGTGAACTCCAGGAAGAAGCAAATGAAAAGCAATCATAGGCCAGGAGCGGTGGCTCATGCCTGTAATCCTAGCACTTTGGGAGGCCAAGGTAGATGGATTACCTGATATCAGGAGTTCGAGACCAGCCTGGCCAACATGGTGAAATCCCATCTCTACTAAAAATACAAAAATTAGCCGGGCATGGTGGCAAGTGCCTGTAATCCCAGCTACTTGAGAGGCTGAGGCAGGAGAATCACTTGAACCCAGGAGGCAGAAGTTATGGTGAGTGGAGATCGTGCCTCTGCACTCCAGCCTGGGTGACAAGAGTGAAACTCTGTCTCAATAAAAAGAAAAGAAAAGCAATCACAGTGTATGTAGATCAAAGGAGGAAGGAACATTTTCCTTAGAATGAAACTTTAATAACGAAAACAATAAACTCCCTCCTTTCTGCTCCTAGAATAACCAAGCACTCAATTCTCATTTGCTTCTCAGCCATCAGCTGTCCTAATCTGTTGTCTATTTTGCTGTGTAACAAAACTCGCCCAAATCTAGTAGCTGAAAGCAACAACCATTTATTATGGCACATGTCTACATGGTGGCTGGGTGGTTTTGGTGATTTGGGCCCGGGCTGGCTGAATCCAGGTGGGCTTGTTCAGTGGTCACTGGCAGCTGGGCTGAGGGCTGGCCTGTCTAGCATGGCCTCAGGTAGGAAGAGTTGGTTCTACTCCACAGACTGACCCGTGCTTGTTCTCTTCCTCCAGCAGGCTAGTCCAGGCTCGTTCTCTCAGCGGAGTCAGGGGTCCTAAGAGAAGAGCAAAAGCAGTAAAGGCGTCATGAGGCCTGGACTTAAAGGACACATTGCCAGTTCTGCTATATTCTGTTGACCAAAGCAGGTCACAAGACTGGCCACGGTACAAGGGGTGAGAAAATACGCTCTACCTTTTAATGAGGCATTGTAAACTCACATTGCCAAGGGCGTGAATACAGGAGGTCATTAATTGTGACCACGAATGCCATCTATCTATCAGATCTGCCAATGTGATTTTTCTTTTAGGTGTGAACTTAGTCCAATTTCAGACATTAGTAAAACTCATTCGGATTCCATTTCCAAATTCCTAATTCCAAGAGAACTGGAAAAGCAGAGCGTGCCAACCTCTTATAATCCTTCTTCATGTGACAAACATTTCTGGAGCGCCCACTGAGCCAGGCTCAGAAGGTCCCCGGGACATGTATGAAACCACACTTCTCCTGCCCTCCAGGTGCTCAGCACAGCAGAATCCCGGCTGGGAACAGAGAGCAGCAATGGCCACACAGCTCTAGTGGGAATCCTGGGGAAGTGGTACGTGGTGTTGAATAGTGACTCAGAGTTTTCCAGAAAGAAAAGGAAGCGGAATTCATTCCAGAGGCCTGGAAGACGTAAAGATGGTTGCGTTTTCATGAAACCGAGCTGCTGACACAAAGCGCAAGGCTGAGATTGTGTGGGGCCTTGCCTGACTCTCCGTGGAGCAAGGATTTTACTGTGAAGGATCCACGAAGTTACCGCAGGGCTTCTGCTGGATGCGTGTGCTCTGCTTGGCCCTCTAGAAAGACTGCTGGGGCAGCAGAGAGGTGAAGAGGGAGCTAAAGACAGGGCGACCAGTTGGGAGACTATTTCCGGTCCAAATCCATCCTCTCGGGTTGGAGTTTCCGTGACCGTCCACCTGCTGGCTGGAACTGGGAAGTCCTCTGGGGTCCTAAACCCTCGCAGTTGCTTGCTCAGAGTTATGCAAGCGGGTGGGGTCGGGGCAGGACCAGGACGATTTGCCCTTTCTGCTCTTGGCTGATTTCGTAACAGGTTAGTTTTTAAACTTCTGGCTCATTCCAGACACTATGCCTCTGGCCCTGGGAGAGAACTTGGCCTCCCTGACCGCGCATAACATTTCCACTTTCCGGCAAACACTGTCTGGGTGATCAGGTGAGGTTGGCACACACAAATCCTTGAAGTTCAGACCGCCCTTCTCTGGCCGCTTTGTGTACCGCACAAACGTTCCATTCTGGGATGATCACCTGGGGGGAGTTTTCTTCTTCCGACATCTAGTTCAGCTCTGCTGAGCTTTCGGATTCCCAGCCTTTCTCCCACCACAACCAGGTGGTCACGAAGTCTCACAGGAAGTGTGGTAGGCACAATAGTGGTCCCCGGGGATGTCTAGGTCCCCATCCTTGCAACCTTTAAGTGTGTTGTTACACAGCCAAGGGGAGTGAAGTTAACAGATGGAATGAAGATTGCTAATCAGCTGACTTTAAGACTGGGAAACGAGCCTGGATTATCCAGGTGGGGCCAATATCATCATCAAAGTCCTTAATAGCGGAAGAGGAGGCAGCAGAGCAGCGAGTGTTGCTGTGCGAGAAGGATCCGCCTGGCGTTGCTGGCCTTTAAGATGGAGGAAGGGGGCCGTGTGGTAGGAATGTGGGGGCCTAGGGAGGGAAGGAAATGGGCTCTCCCAAGAGCTTCCAGAAAAGAATGCACCCATGCTGACACCTTGATTTTGGCCCCAGTGAGCCCCATGCTGGACTCCTGGACTACGGAGCTGTGAGATAATAAATGTGTGCTGTTTTAAGCCAGTAGCTTTGTGGTAATTGGTCACAGCAGGCATGGGAAAGCAGTGCAGGGTGTGTGAGCTGAGGCTGACCTCCTTGAAGACAGGGTTCTCCACTACGTCCCCAGCGTGGAGTTCAAACTTGCTCTATGCCTGGTGCTCGGAAGCATTTTCAGAATGGACAGGACTGATTGAGATGAAGGAGCAGGCAACTACTCTCTCCAGGCCCCTATCTGGCTGTGTGACCATAGGTGGGTCTCTTCACTCTCAGTGACTATGTTCTCATGTCTATTAAGGCAGTTGATGACCTCAAGGGTGGGTGACTTTTGAAGTGACTCTCAGATGTGTTACCACTGGAACCACTGCCACATCTCCTGACTCACCTCTCTCTGACTGGTCTCATTCTTTTTTTTTTTTTCGAGACGGAGTCTTGCTCTGTGGCCCAGACTGGAGTGCAGTGGCGCGATCTCGGCTCACTGCAAGATCCGCCTCCCGGGTTCACGCCTTTCTCCTGCCTCAGCCTCCCAAGTAGCTGGGACTACAGGCGCCTGCCACCACACACAGCTGATTTTTTTGTATTTTTAGTAGATACGGGGTTTCACCGTGTTAGCCTCAATCTCCTGACCTCGTGACCCGCCTGCCTTGGCCTCCCAAAGTGCTGGGATTACAGACGTGAGCCACCGTGCCCGGCCTGGTCTCATTCTTAAAGTCTAATACCATCCTTCTCCAATGCCAAGGTCATTAATTAGCACCCCAGGCCCTCACCGACTCTGTTCTCACCCCCTCTCTGGGGCCTCTGCCTACAGGTTCACTTTGGAGGTCGTGGTAGACGTTGCTGCTCAAAACCTCCAACCATAGGAAACCTCTCCTCCTTATTCTCAGCCAGGAAGTGTGGCCGCAAAGCCTGCTGCACAATTTTGCTCAGGGTCAGACACTGGGACGTCCCCGGGGCCTGTGATGCTGGTCTCACCAGAGCTTTGACTATGAATGCTGCTTTTCCTCATAGCAGTGTGTGACCCCTAAGCTCCCCTATTCAGTGACCAGGGACAATCACCAAATCAACGCGAAGAGAAAATGAAGCCTTGTGTTTCTATCTAACGGGCGAGCTACACTGCAAGTATAAGAAGTGCTTGTGGGGAAATCTGCTTTCCTGACTCTTACCTCTGTTTCCAGAGGGTGATATAATGTGTGCAAATGCAGATTCAGCTTCGAGGAAACTTTCCTCTAATAAGGAACTGAACCACGTTATGGCATGCTACCTCCAAGGTATGACAGTATCGGTTATACTCATGGGGTCCAACTTTTCTTTAGCTTAGAGGTGATTCTTCCTCAGAGCAGGAGTTCTCTATTTTGGCCACCCATTAGAATCACTTGAGGCGGGAGTGTTTAAAAATCCAAGCCAGGCTGCACTCTAGCCACAGAATCACTGGGTTGAAACAGTTCCCCAGGTGACGCTTATGTGCAGACTGGGTTGAGAACCACTCCACTGCCTTAGATCACTGGCTACTCCTGCCTTTCCCTTTGTTATTTACAAAAACGATTATTTTTTAGTATCTAAAGACCAACATCCATGGACCCTTACTTGTTATACTAGAAGATGCTCTGTCCTCCTTGACCTGAGTCCCATCTTAGTGGGGCTATTATAATGGTCCACGCACCTGAGTCTCATCCAAACCAGTGCCTGCCCCAGGGGGGCAGGCTCTTGGGAGCAATGGCTTCTGAGTCATGCCTGGAATGCAGGAATATGTGGGGATCCGTCCAACTGACAAATGCAACTTACCCAAAGTTTCATTGAATGACCACAAGGGCATCTGTGTGCAGCAGTGGGACTGCAGTCCAGGTCAGGGATCTGGTCTTTAGTGTTGGCCCTGGGCAGGGAGGGAGCCCTAACAGGCACCGAAGCACCCAGTGTGGTTCCTGCTACCTGCAGTTTCTCTGACCCCCACTGCAATCCTTCACCCCTAGGCTCCCCTTGGCTTCCCTGCCTCACCCACAGTCATTGAACTCAGCTGGTAAATGGTAGCTTGAGCCGGTGCGTCCTCGGAGCATGAGTCCCAGCCAGTTTTCACTGACTCCTCTCCTTTCCCAGCTGCCATGGCAAGTGGGTGCCCAGTCCCATAGCAGCCTCTCTTTCCTAAGTAAAATCCCACCCCCTGTGGCTAACTGTTCACAACCTGAAGGAAGAAATGTTCTCCTTTCAAAGGAAAAACAACCCTCCTTCCATGTAGCTTGCCAGCTGCCCACTGCTAGCTAGGTGTCGCTTACAATCCATGGACACCAGTCCCATAGCAACCCCCAGGGGACTGTCACAGCAGCCCCTGACACAAACTGCTTTAGCAAAGGGGTGTTGAAAAGTATTTTAAAAACAAGTTTGATACACAATTTTTAGGGAGCAGTCAAGGGGGTTCTCAACTGAGGTAACTGACCGACTTGGTGGGGTTTTAGTCAATGAGTGTAGCTTCGCTGCTGAGGCTATTAATGGCAGGGAGGTGGGGGGATAGTGGGTATAAAGGCAATGAGATTACATATCAAGATGGAAGGGGGCATCCTAGGCTTAGCATGGTATTTGGAAACCTTGACTAGCCCTTTATGCCCAATGCTGTTTGGTAATCTTGCTGGGAATCGCAGAAGCTGTAGATCCTTAATGGTGTCAACATTGGTATGTGCCACCACCAGCCTGAATTACATATTAACCACCCGTCTGCACTTAGCCCCTCTACCTGGCCACCTTCTGATGAGAAGAGCTCTTTCCTCTCTCTCCTCTCTTGTACGCTGCAGTGGATAAGTGAGTTTCTCTCCATGCCTTCTCTGGAGTGGGCTGTTTTGCCCACTGGAGGGGGATTCTCGAGGTCTCCACCAGTCCTTGGAAAAATGGGGTGAGGACTCCAGGGCTGGGAAAGGGAAAGTGTAAGATGATCCTGAACCAGCTTGTGGTGCCTGGAAGTAAGGAAATGCTAGAGAAATGATGAAGATGTGTCAAGAGATCACAGGAACCAGCTTGAAAGGGCTCTAAACAGCCAAACCTAGGAAATCGGACCAATAAGAATAAATAACAGTGGATTGTGACCTGTAGAGTACGATGGATGTATTCTGCTAAGTGAGAGAAGCCAGACCCCAAAGTCTACACATTCAAATCCACTTACATGACATTCTGGAAAAGGCAAAACTATAAGGACAAAAACCAGATCAGTGGTTGCCAAAAATAGGGGGTGTTGGGGGGGAGTTGATTATAAAGGAGCTGCATGAGGGATTTGGGGGACTGAGGCAGCTGTTGTGTTGCATGACTGTGGTGTAGGTACATGACTCTACATTGTCAAAACCCATAGAACTGCAAACTACAGAGAATGAATTTTACTGAATGCAATTTTTAAAAAATTAATCAAGATGTTTGGGAGCCCCAAATGGAACACAAACTATCACAAATAAACCCAATCAGGCTGGGCATGGTGGCTCACACATGTAATCCTAGCAATTTGGGAGGCCAAGGTGGGCAGATCACTTGAGCCCAGGAGTTTGAGACCAGCCTGGGGAACATAGCGAAACCCCATCTGTACAAAAAATACAAAAGTAGCCAGGCATGGTGGCGCACGCCTGTAGTCCCAGCTACTCGGGGATTAAGGCGGGAGGATCACTTAAGCCTAGGTGATTGAGGCTGCAGTGAGCTGAGATCGTGCCACTACATTCCATACATTCCAGCCTCGATGACAGAGTGAGTCGCCGTCTCTTAAAAATAAAAAAACCCCAAAGAACCCAACCATAATACAGATGAATAACATAACCACACTGAAGGGGGTGGGGAAGAAAAGAACCAACCTGAGCACCTAGGGAAAATAGGGTTTTGACCTCATATACAAATACTATATGGTTAATACATTTCTCATGGGGTGTTAGGGATTCTGCAACTACTTTCTGTGTATCCTAAGGCTGAACAAATAGGTCAGTTCACCCTTGAACAACACAAGTTTAAACTTCAAGGGTGCACTTACCCAGGGAATTTCTTCCACTTCTGCCACGCTCGAGGTAGCAAGGCCAACCCCTCTTCTTCCTTCGCCTCAGCCTGCTCAGTGTAAACATGCTGAGGATGACCATCCTTTAGAATGACCCCCTTCTACTTAATGAACAGTAAATATATTTTCTCTTTTTTATGATTTCTTAAGAACATTTCATTTTCTCTCGGGAGGCTGAGGCAGGAGAATGGCGTGAACCTGGGAGGCGGAGCTTGCAGTGAGCCAAGATTGCGCCACTGTACTCCAGCCTGGGCGACAGAGCAA